AAGTGCTAAGACGACAAGTATTAAACTCCCTGTGTTTTCCCTTCCTACAGTAAGAATGTGTCTCTGTGTAAAGATAATTTGGTGAGGCAGACAGTCTGAGGTGATTTTCTGATGACTTGGCCTTCCCCAAATAAACCCCCAGAGGATATCCTTTTCCTGTTTGCATCTAGATAAATATGAAGCTCCAATGAGGGGAACTACAGGTTAGAACAGAAAGTTATACCAACTTACAAAAACCACATTTTCAGATTTAGAGCACATATTAAGCCATAATCTTAGACTTTCAGTGCTTCTCTTTTCTGCATTCCCATTTTTAGTATTTCATTCAACCCTTTTCATGGACTATTTAGTCCTTATATTTCCTCTTTGTCTTTCCAGTCAGGGTAAGAACTCTGTGAAATTAATCCTTCACAGTAATGCTGTGGAGGCTGGCCCATTCCATAATCTCTACAACAAGGCAGGCAGGCAAAATAAAGCCTCCTTTCCCCTAGATAATCAAGCTTTAGTTACTAGTGATCCTCTGCATTTTCCCTGGAAACACTATTGGTTTCTACTCTCAAATGTAATTCAACTACTTCCTAAGTGCCAATACTGTGCTTAACTCAGCATGGAATACATAAGTAAGAAACAAACTCTGCCCTCCACAAATTTATGATGATGAAAAATGTCAAGTTTACAAGTGACTACACCAAGAAGCAGAGTGGAAAAAGCAACATGACCACAGAAAAACTGCTGTGGGGTTCCAAGACATGAGAGACAATATGAAAATGTCATCCAGGTGGAGTTGCAGGCAGAACAGCATAACCAAAACACAGGGATAGAAAAAAGCAAACATGATCAGGGAACAGCCTATGTATTTGTCCGTGGACCAGAATCTAGAATGTGCAAGTGGAGAACAGTGGAATATAAAACCAGATTGGCAGATTGTGGTTACAAGTAAAAGGCTTGGGATCTGAATATAAATTTGAAATGAAGAGTGTAAATTAGATAATGGTAAATCACGGAAGGTTAATAGAGGAGTAAAGTCATCCTGTTCCTGTAATTTATTTCAAGTGGGAGTACTCAAAGAAAACTGAGATTCTGACTAGGACACAGGCAATAGTCTTAACAGAAATATTAAAGACAAGCTGAAGAAAACGTGGTGGGGCAAAACCAGCTGAGGTGTCGAAACGACATCCCAGTGGAAATGTGGCACCAGAGTTCTGGAGAAATTGGCAGTGGAGCTCTGAATCAAGGAATCATACCACCATAGAGGTAGCAGCTGAAGCACTGGGATTTTTAGAAACATTTACTTTCTACATGGAAACTGAACAAGAGAGGTGGGGGATGAATGTGTGCTTCAGGTTATTCAAAAACAAGTTAATGAAAAGACAAGTGCTCTAGTTCAAGAATCAACATTTCATAATTTTCCAGCTCTTGGAAAAGACTGAAATAGACAGAAAAAGAAATCTAGAAAGAAGCACTCCTTATTTCTCGAGTACTCTTTGAAGATACATAAAACATTTTATCCAAGAACATTCTAAGATCTTAATGCATACTTTTAGTTAAATTTTAAGCTAATCTTGATTAGAAACATATTCACATCGAAACTGTAAGTCGCATTTTTTCCAGACTCTGGTAAATGATTTATTTTTAAGTTTCTTTCAGAGCCAAGGGCTTTTATTTTTAAACTAGAAGACATGAAAACTCTCAAGAAGGAAATGTATATGAGCACAGGCACACATTTGGCCATGTAAAATGATGTAAACAATTTTCCTGTTAAGCATTGCTGTTAGGATGTCTCTTTTCTCTTCCTCTCAACCCTCCAAATTAAAAATGCTTGCATTATTTTGCAAGGCTTTGCTTATATTGTTACAAGCCATGACTGGGTTAGGTGTTTACTTTTAAATCCCTCAAATGCTGAAATTTGGATAACCAGAAAAACCACTTCAACTGTCACTGACCAAGATATACACACTGGCAACACACGCTTTTTACTAAAGGGCGTATTCATAGCTTTAACAGGTACTGCAAAGGAGGCCTGAGGCCAAGGGAAAGACTAAGGGTCCACTGTTGATATTTAACTCTAAGCCCTCTTCTTCCCCTTCAGTCCTATGGATCTGACTGGATACACACACATAATTTGGTTGCTTTTATTTACTTTCTTCATTTTTAATTGCAGGTTTAGAAATTCTGCATTTTGGAGGATATATTTATCAACCTACTATTGTTCTGCTCTTATTCCTTTCATCCTCTAGTAATTATTCCTTTAATAATTTTCCACAATTTTACTCAGTTTTTATTTTTACTGTACCCTCTATTTACGTTGCTTTACAATTTGTTAAATATCGAAATAATAATGTTCATTGAGAAAAACACAAAAAAAGCTTAGGGAACTTAATAAAAACTACTTTTTTACCTTCTTTGGCCACTCTTAAAGAGAGCATGTCTGTCTTTAGTACTATGATAATTCTCTCCTTTAAATTTCTGTTTTGGTTCCAGAATTTCATTACTTTTGCTCCTTTGTTCACTCTCCCTAAATTTCACTGAAACTTACTTTTATCTTATTGGTTCCTTTATAAGTTTCACTGCATCATCTTTTAACTAAAGGTCCATCTATGTGACCTTCCAGAAAATGCAAAACTATAAGGGTAGAAAACAGATTGGTGGCAGCCAGGGGCTGAGGGTCAGAAGAAGTGACTGACTACAAAGGGGCATAAAGTACTTTTTGAGGTGATGAAAATGCTCTATATCTTCGTGTAGGCTATATGAAAGAGGGTGAATTTTATTAAATGTAAATTACATCCCAATTAACATCAAACATATAGATATAAACACAATTAATGATGTAGGAAGGAGAACTGATATGACTTGGTGCTGAATGTGATGATCAAGGGAGGAGAGCCAATGGTAACTTTCAGGTTTCTGGGGTATGAAAGTGTCTTCTTCACTTTGTAATGGAGGCATTTTGACATGCAGGACAGCTGGCAAGGACACCTGACCACAGTTTATCCAATCTTGAAGTGAATCTCTTAAAAGACAGAATGAGCTGTAGAGAGTGCTACTGAGGAAGGAAACATATAGAAGGCTGGAGCAGGGCAGCTACACATAAGGTCACGGTCCTATATCAGAAGACCTCCAACCACACCAGTAGGTGACTCCAGCCACAGCCTCAGGTGGGCAGCCAATAGGTGGACATCCTGTGGATGCTAATCTAAGTGCAATGCTTCAGAAGCTCCTTCAAGATCTTGCCAAAGATACAGGAGCCCACTGTGTACAGCCCACCTTCTAACTGATAGTAAAGCATTGGCCTTTCCAAATGACCTTGAATCTCAATCTACACACTATTCTCCTGTCTCTTCTCTCACAACCATCTAGGGCTCTGTTCCTTGCTCCAAAAGGGTGATCAAGTCTGGTTTAGAAAAGGATATACTGGTGACACCAGGTATCTATAGTTTGTCAACACCACATCTCTGCTGTACAGTCTCTCTTAGCAAGGTCCAGACATTCCCACGTATCCATAAAGAAATCTATAGAACATCCAAGAACTTCATTAATCCAGGGTCAATCTTCCTCAGGGTTCTTCTCTAGGAAAAATGCAGAATCCAGGGGCTAGGCCCGTGGCCGAGTGGTTAAGTTTGCATACTCCGCCACGGTGGGCCAGGGTTTTGCCAGCCCAGATCCTGGGCACAGACATGGCACCGCTCATCAGGCCATGCTGATGCAGCGTCCCACACAGCACAACCAGAGGCACTCAACAACTACAACATATGACTATGTACTGGGGGCCTTTGGGGAGAAGAATAAAAAAAACAAAGATGATGACAGGCAACAGTTGTTAGCTCAGGTGCCAATCTTTAAAAAAAAGAAAAAATTGAGTGAGAAATTGCAGTGGATGTGATCTGCTCCTATTTGTTTAAAAAAAAATGCAGAATCCAGAGAAGATACAGCTCTACTCTGACTTGTAGGTATGCGACAACTCTTATTTCTTCCACAAGATACTTCTTTTGGGAAGAGGCAGAATGCTGAAGCCGAACACAGTAAATGGCCCCAGAGTCACTGCATTGTTTTTAACTTTTCTAACTTTACTTTAAAAAAATTCCTTGTTCTATTATAAAATGTCAAACAGGGAAATGCCAAACTCCACAGCAATGAGTTTGTGGAGAAAAGGCACCATATAAACCAAAACTGGAGCTTTATCCATTTTGCATCTGCCTAGAAACTCCCCTTAACAGATAAACGCTGATTTTCCTAAGATATATGAATCTGGGAACTCGGCAAAACTACAGCCTAAAATGTTTTCCTCAGACAACAATGATTCTGTTTTAATTGATCAGTACTGTACAGTAGCCACTAGCCACATGTGTCTGTTGGGCACTTGAAATGTGGCTACTCTGAACTGAGATGTGCAGTAAGTTTATATTAAATGTTGGCTTTTGAAGATTATTATGAAAAAATAACATAACTCACTCATAATTTTTAAACATTGATTAGATGTTGAAATGATATTTGGATATATTGTACCAAACAAAATGTATTACTAAAAATAATTTTACCTGCTTCCTTTTCTTTTTTTAATGTGGCTACTAGAAAATTTAGTAAGAGCCTGTACAATACAGAAACAACTCTAATTGTCTTCATGACTTAACTTATAGAAGATGTATACATTCAACTATAATAAAAATCAGCCTTTTTCTAAGTTTAAGTTCATTCGTTTCAAGAACTATTTTCTACCAAAGCATGAATTATATATATATTACTATGGATTCACCTGTATAAAAGAAATTAAAAAGAACACTATATCCATAACACTGCTGGACTATATTTAATCACTCTCAAAAGAGAGAACACCTCTTTAGTCTTGCAAATTTGAAAGAGTAAATACAGCATAATTTCTCAAAGCTCATGCCTGCATTCCATATCCTAATCGAATGATATGTGACCACCTAAGCACAAGTACAGGACATATGGCAGAATAAAAAAGTCATACGCATGGCACACAAACTCCTAATGTGTATTACCTGATAGATATCAGATAAACTGCTGCTCCCAGAGTCACTGGCGATGCTACAACCAGACTGACTAGAAGACACATGAGTCACCTGTGGATGAGGGTTGTCTGTGATGTGCATCTTGGTAAGATCGGCTGGAAGCTGAAGAAGAAAAATAATTTAAGATATTCTAAATATCAAACTTTACCTATGTAAGAGTTCTTGACACACTGTAACTTTTGCAACAAATTTTTGTTTTACGTTCATTACTGTGCAACCTCATTTCTAACCTAAATTCTCCATTCTTAGGGAAAACTTTAGGAAACGATAAGAATCAAATTAGTACTCTGACAGTATTAGGCAAGCCTATAGTGGAAGCCCACTGAGCAGTTTTCAAAAGAGATTACCACAAGTAATTGTATTTTAGAGGAAAAACTTGGCCCCTCTTTTTCCCCAAATGAAAACATCAGCCATTGCCACTGTGAAGGGTAGGAATGCTACTGCATGCATGCATGCATGCATGCATGTGCACACACACACACTCATACACTACTAATACAAAACAGCTGTTAATACCAGAATAAAACAGGAATATCTTGGATTAATGTACAACATCTGGCAACAAGACTTAAGTAACAGTTGACTATATTCAATATTCCAAAAATTCAGTAAGCCTCTTTTCACTTAATATTGTATTAATTTGTAGTTGGCCCCTAAAAAATTTGTTACTAATCTTAATGATTTAATGAGTGTCTGTGCTAGGTGCAGGGATACAAGAGACAGAAGAAGGAAATGAGTCCACCACCTCATCTTTAATATGGTCTCACTTTAATCAGGGATGCAGGTTGTACAATATATTTCATACCATAAAAAGGAAAAAAAAACTCACAAAATAAATGCTACAAGAGTTAAGAAACAAACCATTGTGCTCCAGAGTAGTGACAAAGTTTCATAGGAGGTATGAGATATATTTTTCCAAATAATTTCTCTGCAACTTGCTACTCAGGACCATTAAGAGAAATCTATTTACCTTTTATTTATTTACTTATTTTTGAGGAAGATTAGCCCTGAGCTAACTGCTGCCAATCCTCCTCTTTTTGCTGAGGAAGACTGGCCCTGAGCTAACATCCATGCCCATCTTCCTCTACTTTATATGAGGGACGCCTACCACAGCATGGCTTTTGCCAAGTGGTGCCATGTCTGCACCCGGGATCGGAACCGGCAAACCCTGGGCTGCTGAGAAGCGGAACATGCGAACTTCACCGCTGCACCACTGGGCTGGCCCCTATTTACCTTTTAAAACAGGGTACCTCGCTGCTTTACGGTAGGAAAATGTTAAAGAAACACACACACAATACTGTAAACTAAATATACTGTAAAGGAGAAAACGGCCAAGTCTGAATAATATTATCTCAAGAGGAGTCACTATAATTATAAAAGCTACAAAGAAACTACATCACGAACTTCCCCTGCTGATAATGGTGGGTTAGTTAATTCAGAGGAATCCTATAACTAAGATAAACAGAAAAACTGGAATACACACAAACTGGCCTTTGAGGATGCCTTTCTCCTAAGAATATTTCCTGATTCTTAAAGAGGAGGCCAACAGGGTGAGAAGAACTTCTGATAGGCACTGGTTAAAGAGATAAAGTTATATTCCAAGGCCTAGCACGAAAGAAACATACTTTGGACTGGGACCCTGGAAGTACACTACACTCTAGGAGTAAGTAGGACCCAAAAGTAAACTAACAACCATTTTTAGAATCACCTCAATCCTTGACGCTGGATTAAGGTTATACAGGATCACTAGTGCTTCCAATCAACTATTGGAAGTAAACACAAATCTTCACCATAGGAAAAAATTATCCTAGGTCTCTAAGCAACTATTGGAAGTAAACACAAATCTTCACCATAGGAAAAAATTATCCTAGGTCTCTAATTATTTAGAAAATTTTGTGTACACAACATCCACTGTTCAAATAAAACTAGGCACATTAGGAGACAAGATGGCATTGATAAAAACTAAGAGAACTAATAAACTCTAGAAAGCAATGAAGAACAACTTTCAAATAACGGAGTTGACACAGATTCTAAAATTACTGTATTTAATATATCTCTATCTATATCTATCTATCTATATCTAGTTATATATACACACACACCAGGGGTTGGCAAACATTTTCTTTAAAGGACCAAAGAGTATATATTTTAGGCTTTTGTAGGCCACATATAGTCTCTGTGGTATACTTTTCTTTTTTTTTAATAACTCTTTAAAAATGTAAAAAACATTCTCACCTTACAGGTCATATACCTCACTGGCCATATCTGCTCCAGTTTAGCAATCCATGATTATATACAATGACAAAAAGACAAGACTAAGAATTTTAGCAAAGAAAGAAAAACTAACAAAGAATGAAATGAAAATACTAGAATTGAAAAACACAATTATAGAATTAAAAAATAAAGATAGGTCTGAAAAAAATATCCAGAATGAAGCCAGGAGAGAAGTGGCAAGAGCCACAAAAGATATAGTGAGAAGGTAACATCTAAATAACCAGAGTCATAGAAACAGAACAGTATTTAAGGCATAGAAGATGATGGCTGACAATTTCCAAAACTGACAAAAGATACAAAGTCACAGATCAAGCAGCTTTAAGAATTACCAGCAAGATAGATAAAAACAAAACCATACCTACAAACACCAGGGTAAAACTGCTGGAAAAAAAAGACAGAGAAAAGTCTTAAAAGCAGTCAGAGAAAAAAGAGATTACTCTGACAAGAGCAAAATTAAACTGATGGCTGCCTTCTCAATGGAATTTGGAAGCCAGAAGACAATGGAGTGCTATCTCTAAGAGCTGGAATTCTACACCTAGCAAAAGCAGTCCTCAAAAGGGGTAAAATAAAGTCATTTTCAGAGAAACAAAAATGAAGAGAACTACTCCCCTGCAGACCTACGATGAAGAAAATCCATTGGGAGAAAAAAATGATTCCATATGGAAGTTTCTAGATGCAGGAAAGAAGGAAAACCAATGAAAAAAACAGGAAATGCATGGTTGAATCTACATGAATACTGACTATATAAAATAGTAACATTAATGCCCCATAAAGTTTAAAATGTATATAGAATTAAGATACATTACAAGAGAATTTAAGTCAGGAGAAGGGTAAATGAAGTTATTAAAGTGCTCTAAGTTCTTTGCATTGACCATGAAACTGCAGCCACAGACTCCATAGGTGAAGGATGTATTGTTATAATCTATGACTTAAGGAAAAAATGTAAAAAAGTATATAACTACCAAGCTAACATAGGGGAAAATATCAAATAATAAAAGGATGGAAAAATATATACCATGCAAACACAAACAAAAAGAAAGCTTATGAAGTTATATTAACGTCAGATAGTAGATCTTGAGGCAAAAGCATTAGGTAGAGACAAAATGGGACAAGTCAAAACGATAAAAAGCTCAACACTAAATAAATATGCTCCTAATAACAGCCTCAAAACGTACAAAGCAAAAAATGACAACAATAAAAGAATTAGATGAATCTACAATTACACTGTGAAATTTTACCACACCTCTTTCAGTGGTACAATAAGCAAATAAAAAAATAAGATAAGGAAGATGTGAACATAAAGGCAGCAGAAAATCAATGAGCTAACTATAACTGATTACAATAATACAGAAATATTGAGGGAAGTGTGTCTCAACTCAAAGATATTCCTCCCACTTGGTTTCTAGCATTTAGATTCAAAGAAAAAAACTCATCTAGAAATGAAACAGATGGAAACACAAAGACTGAAAATAGTTTTAAAATATCAGATGTTTGGTTGGGGTGTCAGAAGTGGGAGATATTCTATACTCCAAGATTACCACAGAGGTAAGACCAAGGAAAAGGTCATCCACAAAAGTAACACAATGAACCCAAGCCAGAAGAAAAGTCTGCAAACTGGCTTGGTAATGATCCTTACAATGTACTGAGCAATCTCAATCCTCAGTAGGCCCTAAAAGGCAGGCATTATTATCCCTACTTTACTGATGAGGAACGGAGGCAGTAGGATGAAGCAACTTGCCCCAGATCTCGCACTCAAGTAAGTAGCAGAACTGGAATTCAAACCTAGGTGTATCGATTCTAGTACTCTTTGCTATACTCTACACTTGGCGCCAAGAACTCTGCTGGTAACATAAAGATGAAAACGGAGTCCTACCTTCCAAGGAGCTCAGTCTAATAGTAGAGAGAGTAATCAGATTGCTTCCTGAAGAACACAGATCTTCATACAGGAATCCCCTCAACCTCTTTATCTGATAGGAAAAATGATGATGATGATAGCAGCTAATGTTTGAGTGCCCACTATATGTACCAAATATGTAAATGGAAGCAAATATATTCTTCTACATGCTTCTTACATAGAATATGTAATTTAGTCATCAAGCAACCCAACGAGGTAGATGCTATTATACGAAATTTACAGATTAGAAAATTGGGGCCCAGAGAAGTTATAAAGGTTGTCCATGGTCACACAGCTAGGAAGCAGGGGAACTGGGATCTGAAACCCAGGCAGCCTGACCAGAAATCTGTTGCTCTTTCCTACTAAGTTGTTTCCTGATATTAAGTTGGGAGATCAGAACACCCAACAGTTTCTTTTTTCTTAATAACAAAGGAGGCAAAAAAGGAAAAGGTTTTCCTCCAATAGGAATTTTTGATTTCTCAAACTTTCTCCACTGTCTCTCAGCTTGCCTGCCCCCTTGCCTTTTCTTCCTGATCCCAGCTGGAACTTAACTGCTGACCTTTCATCAACAACCTCAATTTAGTTACCCCATCATCCTTCCAGCCTACCAGGTCTGGAAAACATTCCTATTTTCTATACTTCCTGCATCCATTTCCTAAACTTGAACTTCTGAGCTCTGCTGGAACTCACATGTCCATGAGGACTAGTGTCAAAGTTTTATTTGGGGTGTGGGAAGGTTCCTTCAGCTAACAGCTCAAATACAGACACCAATTATTAAGGTACATAGTCTCTTGAAGACTATGTGTGTGTGTGTGTGTGTATATATATATACACACACACACACACAAGGAAAGAGATGTATTAAGAAGAGGCAAGAGGGGCCGGCCCGGTGGCATACTGGGTAAGTTCGTGCACTCTTCTCCGGCAGCCCGGG